ACTTGATAATTTACTTTCATTTATGATCTGAATTCTGTGTGAACTCAGCTCTCTGGAAACAGGAGTTTGTCAGATGAGGTTCCACAGATATTAAGGCTTTGTAAGTTCTTCCTACACCTTAAAAATAGAGGATCTCTAGGTACAGGGATGTTACCTAATTCTTTCTCATAGGCTGGAGAATACAGAAAAAGTTTTCCCCCTCTTCTCCTCCTTCTGGGGTTCTGCATGCTTCTAGGATGCTTTCTTGCATGATAAAGGAGCTCTACTATATACTGGGAACCAGTTAGACAGTTGCACAGATTCAGGAGTGTGAGATTGTCTTGTAAGCTGAAAAACACTTCTATTTATTTCTCCTGCTCTGTGAGTAACGCTCATCAGGTGTAGCTTACTCTGAGCCTGTGGAATTAGGTGGCTTGGTTCACTAGCACAATTGGTTGTGTTTCAAATAAACATAAATTAAAAAATAAATTAGTTTGGGGGAGTTCTTTGAGTTTTTTTTGTTTGTTTGTTTGTTTGGTTTTAGCCCAGAAATAAAATACGTCTCTAGAAACCATATTCTTAGCTCAAAAGCAGTGTTTTGCAGCCATGTGCTTTATGCAGCTGTAGCTGACTCAGGTGTGGCAGGGCCGAGCCAGGCCAAGAGAGTGTAAAGCTGGCGTGAGCAAGCCAGACCTTGTGTGTGCACAGGCATTCCCCCTTCTGGGAATTCAGGCATGGCTGGCTCCTAGAGGAACTGAAATACTGTGTGACTAGCACAGAGTTCACACTTTTTATTTTTCTCCTGAAAGTGATATTTCATGAGGCAAGCAGTTGCAGTTCTGAAATGAGGAGAGAACTGACATACATTTAACCAAACAGTATCCGGCACCCATACAAGAGAGTCAGAAAACACAGATAATATCTCACTTAACAAGAAGTATTTTTCCTACCTTTTTTTTTTTTTTCTTCTTCTTTTTTTCTCAGTTCTAGGGCCTAACAGTTAAGGAAGGTGAAAAAAACAGTACAAATGTTTCCACATCTAACATGAAAAGATCCCCCTAGCACCGGCCGGGCTGTGCCGCTCCCTGCAAATGCATGAAGAAGAGTTTTGCATTTGATGTTCTTGCTAGGTTCTGGGAAGGTGGAAATGAACATATCCTGGGCTGGTATCTCCCACCTGAGAGCCTGGCTCCTATCGCAGAGCAACTCTCTTCCCATCACTGGAGATCTGAGGTCCTGCCCGTGAAAAGGGGATGTGAATTCAGTTGTAACTCACCCAGAAAAATGCGTATGTTGCTTTTCTTGCATAACTTCTCCAGTGATTCTGGTGTTTCCATAGGAAACAACCCTCAGGTATTGAATACACCCAATATTAGTTTGTGAAAGGATAGGGAATGAGATTTCTGTAAGAAATCTTCCTCTGGCTTTCTTTTGAACTGTCAAAACTCCAGCAACACCATCCTGGCATAAACTGAATTGCTCTCAGAACTGAATGGAGATAAGCGGACTTTGGTAGGAATAAAGGACGCATAAAACCTTCCTGGGCTGGGCACTCTGTTCCCTTCCTCTCTTTCCTCATGTCTTTAAGTATATTGCTAGGGCAGAGATGAGGAAACTCAAGTAGAGAGAAGTTGAGGGTCTTACCAGGCACCATGGATAGGTTACACACTTCTTTGACGATTTTCATACAGCAATGGCAGTGTTTGGAAATCTGAGATGATCTTCCAGAGCTTCAGGATGAATCAGGGGAATGTACGGTACATCCTGCAGTTGAAGGTATCTCCATTTATGATTTAACCAAGGGTACCATGAATCAGTGGCAGAACCAGAAACAGAACTTCAGCACTACAGCTCACTTGTCTTTTTTGTTTGGTATGTCAGGTGGCTCTTCATAAAAATAAAATAAAAAAAAAAATACACCTCCCCACCCCAAGATTAGACTGCAGTGTTTATGCTTCACTTTTTATTTTTGAGCAAAAATGTAAAATGGAAATGGAATAAATCAATGGTACTTTGCTCTGTTATGTGACATTTTAATAATTTACCCCAGTGCTTGCCAGTAGGTGGGTTTTTTTTTCTCCATCCCTTTGACCAGTTACTGTTCTGGACATGCCTATTAGAAATTAAATCAGAAACTGTTCCCTCCTTTCCCCCGCCCCCTTTCCATTTCTAAATTCATTGGCAAAAATATGTTAGTGAGATTGCATATCTGTAAGATTACCATGCAGTAGTGAACTTATCACAGTGTAACAATTTAGATGTAGTTAAGGCATGAAATACAAATATCATGCTCTAGAATCCAAGACACAGAGCTCAACAAATATATCTATTTTAAATCTACTATTTTTACCTGCCTTTTTGCATGCAGGGAGTTCTCGATCATGTGTAACAGGAAGAAATCAAATGATATGCAATGAGTCATTAAAGCCAAGTGTACTAAATTTTCTCAACTGCAGTCTCCTGCAAAGAGGGAAGCGTATGACATCTCTGGCTTCTGCCCCACCAAGTCCGTAAGGCTAGTCTGATTCATGCCACCTGGGCAAACGACTATTAATTTAACAAGTAGAAGATTGATATCTGTTTAGTGAACCAAGTAGTTCACCATCAACTGTGAAAGTACTGATTTACTAACAGGTTTCTATTCCAAAAGACTGCTTTGGCTTACTTGCAAAGCATCCTACTTAGTGTGTAAATAGGCACCCTACAATAAGCAGGCTAAGAAAGCTTTTATTTTGTTTGTTATCTGTTAACTCATAGGTCTGATATCATGTGTTTATATTGGTTTGTAGCCAAAAAAAGCCTTCAGGTTTTTTGGGTAGGTGTTTTTCTGAATCTAGCCTAAGTCAGCTTCTGCTGTTGTAACTGGAAGCACAGTTTGAACCTTGGAAGATGCAGGTGGCTTTTGATCACTATTGCTTTTTAATGAATTTCCTTGACTTACATGTAGTGTCAAAAGAGTTAATTCTGACCAGACTGCCTCTTGCCTTCTGATTAAACTTCTGGGTTTTTGTTTTTTGTTTTGTTGCAGGTGGGGAGGCAGGGAGGTGAATATTTCAGCTGTTTCTCCTCACCCATGCATGCTATCCGTAGGAGATACCTCAGCTTTGCAGGATGGGACTTGCATTGGAAAGTTGCTCGCAGATCTTTAAGTTCCTTATATCCCATAAATAAGGAGCTAAACAGTGAATGGCAAAAACTGTTTTAATGAACTTACTTCCTGCTTTTACTTTCCTCTACTGTAAAATTAATAGTCCTTTTCCATTTATGCAGTCCACCTTTGCTCTTGCACTCGCATCCAGTGGGTGGGATTTTTGCCTATTTAAGAATACCCTGCAGAAGCTGGGGATTAGGGGCACCTTATAAAAACATCTAGTCAGTTCCTCTAGCATTGCAGGACTATTCCTTTGTTACTCAAGTCCTCTGGCTGCAGTTTTAGATGGTTCACCTGAGGCCGCTCCTGCCACTCCTGCTCAGAGATTATTCCACAGTCTGATAGACATGTCACTAAGAAGTGGAGTCACCCACTCATTTTGTTCATTTAAACCTAGATTTGTTCAAACAACCCAAGCCAGCTAATTTGGGAGATGACTTAAACCTACCTGTCATTTCCCTCCCATCGGAAAGCACGATGCTTTGCTCCATCCAGGAGGTTGTGAGGAAACCATTTTTTTCTTTCAGGTCAAATCCATAACTGGCATCACCAGATTGTTGTCACTTAAGTAAGCTATATTTGTTTTAATTTTTCCTTTTCTGAGAAGTGATTTCAAAATTAATTCATGTTTGTGTGTTAATGAGAGAATTCTCATTAGAAAAAAACACTAATTTGCTAGGCCTTTGTGCCATGAAATTACTGCCCTTGCTCGTGTGCTGATTGCCACAGGATGTCTAATAGATTGCATCAGTGTAAATTAGTAACATCTCAGTTTTGGAGACAAAGGTCTTATGTGAACATTACTGAGTTCAGATCTGCTCTGGGTCTATTCCTTTCTTTGCTATTAATGCAAAGACCAGACTTTTAGTAATAGTCGCTGAAAATAATCACTTGGATAATTCTTTTGGTAGTTGTTTCCAAGGCATGCTTTTGTTACAGATGTGAGAAATAATTTAAGAAGTTCTGCAAGACAGGGATAGTGCTGTGGGCAGGACATGTATGCTGTGACTGAGAGCTAAACCAAGAAACCTCTCCATTTCTGGAAGCACAGTACTTATCAAGGGAGTTATTTTCCTTATTATATTGCATTAAGCACTAGAGCAGTTACATAACACTTATGCTAAAGCACCAGACTATTTTTTTCTGCAAAACCTTATGTACACAAGATACTAGGATTTGTTTCCTCTTTACAAATAAGAGACCATAAAAACCTTGAAGTCATATTTTGACTGACCTCTGCTAACTCTACATGTTTTCGGAAGTCCCAGGAGCTACAGGCACTTAATTACTCGTAGGCACAAGGACCAGCCAAAGCTTGATCTGTGGGTATTAGTGAAGCTTGCCAAAGATGTAGTTGAAATTTTAGTTGGAGATAAAACTTTATTTTTTGGGTAGTTCTGTTAGAGCCCCAGAATACTTGTGGGTTAGACTTCACTATGTCATTGAAGGAAATCCGTATGTGTTCTCAAGGAACTCAAAAAAAAAAAGAGTTTTTATGAAAGATGACCATTTGATGACCTCTGAGTCTGTCAGTCTATGTTTTCTAAACTGGATCTTCTGAGCATAGCAACTGAAAAATATCTATGTGTGTCAGAAATATCCAAAAGGGTAAGACTGATAACTGTGTATCCAGACTTCAGTAAATTTGGAAGAGACATTGGCCATACATTCTTTTCACAAATATAATTCCCCTTTACTGAAAATAAGCTTTCTTTGCAGGACAGCAGGTTTTAGTCCTAAGATTGTCATGCTTTTAAGTAGTGATTAGGTTTTTTGTTAAGTTTTATTTGGTTTGTGGTTCCTCTTACGGTATTATTTGAAAATGAAGCTACTCTTATGACTCACTGATGCTACTTTCTTCACTTACTAGGAAAGGAAAGTCCTCCAGTTAGTGATGTCCCAGATGATGCAGATGAACCTATGCCTGTTCCAGAGGACCTTTCAACTAGTACTGGAGGACAACAGAGTGCTAAGAATGAGAGAGTCTTGGGTAAGACAACTAGTCCACTCTGATAAGAAGTATTAGTACGTAATATAATATTCAATACTGTTAAAGTACTATATAGCAAGCTGGTATACAAGCAGATCCTATGTCTTTTAATCTTGTTCAGCACAGGATTACTGAGGTTCTTAGTGGCTTTTGTGCAACCTTCTCTTTGGGAAAGCCATTTTGAAGGACAACAAGGCTTTTCATCCACAGAAAAGTTTTAAAGATCCTACAATTTATCTGCTTTCTAAAGCATGACTGATTGCATGAAATTCTCACCATGAAAGATAATTTTCTTTCTTTGTAGGAAATAGAATTAAATATGTGGTTCCAGGTCAAAATTATCTGAACTCACATATGATAAAAATTCAGTAAACTCTCAGGTATTTTTATTACTATTTTTATTAATAATTTGAATGCTATCTTGAATGTTATCTGCTATTCAGATTTCTCCAGAAATGTCATATTAGAACACACATAGTATTCATATATTTCATATTCCAATATCTGATCTTCATTGACCCTTGATTTTTTTAACTGAGAGAACTTTAGAAAACACTTGAATTTTCTTCTCCTAGGTAAAAGTCCACAATTGATAAAGTCTGTTGGATTAAAATAAACTATTGTCCAGAGATTATTTTGCAAAATGCTGATTCTTCTTAGGCATCCCAGACTCCACACCAAAGACTAGCAATGCTGCTGACTACTGCATGCATCAGCTCACATGTAGTCCACTAAAAAAGACTAGATGATTACTTGAGCACAAGGCTGGTTTACTAGTACAGGAAAAAAAAAAAAAAAAAAAAAAGAAGAAAAAAGGAAAAAAAATGAAAAAATGAAAAGAAAAAAGAAGAAAAATAATCACAGAATTCAGTGAATGTGTTTGTTTATCCACAAATAAAAGTATTGCTTATCATTTTTACATTCCTATTGTAGGAATGAGGGTCAGGGTGGAAGACTGTTTTCAGAAAGATCACAAGCGCCTTTAAATGTTTATTGTCTAAGGAAGTCCAATAAAGGACGGTAGGTGGAAAGGGAGGCACAGGAGGCAAAATAACCAAGTCAAGTTAATAGAGCAGGATGGCGTCAGCATTGGGAATAGACCCTACTCCCAAATTCCAGCACTAGGTAGTAGAGAATGCAGCATCTCATGCATTCACTTTATTTACCACTTGAGCCCCTCTTGCCAAAGACGTGTGTGTAAAGTTCAGCTGCTACATGCATATTGACATACCTTATTAACAAATTAATTTTTGGAAATGCTTTTTAATAGTCTGATCACTTCCCTAGTGCTTTGTTTCTCAGTACAAATCTCTTTGGACAAAATCTTGCCTTTACTGCTTGTATTAAGTCTCCTTTCTCCCACAGTAACTAAATCCTACAAAATATTTAAGCCTTGATTTAAAAAATAATACAACATTTTAAAAACAGCTTGTTCAAACCCAAACAAAGAAAGGATTTTTGATTGCATTTACTTCACCAGGCAAATATCATACAGAACCAGCAAAGATGAAACTTATATTTGCTGATGATGTAATGATTCTCCCAACAGTTCAATTATATATCAATATAAGTACATATCAGAAGTTACTGCAATAAAAGAAGGAGAAATGTTATCTTTGGTGTCCTAGATACGATAAGTTCCATTTATCATTCTCATTAATTTTACTTTGTGCACTCAGCAGTAAATTAGTTTATCCATGTCCTGACTTCAACATTTTTTCTACAGCCACTTTCTCTACCCATAGGTCTTTGGTTTTGAAGGGTCACATTTTGTAGTGAGACATTTACCGTAGTCAAGAGAAACACAGACAATTCACAGTACTCTTTTATGGATGATTTTAACTGCAGGTATCATCTCCAGCGCTTACAATGTTTGTCTTTTCCATAAAGCTGCATATACTATTATGTCTTCTACTGCTCCTTTTTCTAGTCCTAAATGAACTTTTTGAAAACAGTACACTGAAAAAATTAATTCCCCTTTTTTACAAAAAGGGTCTGAACGCATGTCCCAAACATATCCAGAGCCATATGATTGCTGTGCACATTCTAGATCATCATCAAAAGAAAATCTGTTAGGGATAAACCAGCGCCTTAGGGCTGGTGTTTGGCTTATGTGAGCCCACAGATGTATTAGGAATGAAGGGGCATGTTTTTCTATGTAGGCAGTGGTATGGCAGTGTAAAGAGGCTAGGCGTTCAGTGCAGCTCTGTCATCTTTAAGGCCCAAGACCTATTTCTCACCTTTGTTTATCACCAAACTTAGGTAGAAAAGGATTATTTGGAAAAGTAGTTTGAAGAATGATTGATAGGCGATAAAGTATTGTAAAGACCCACTGATATTATATGTATCTCATAGCTGGGAGACAGACTGCGACCTATGATAACTAACAGGCAATGCACATGAGCAAATACGACCAGGCAACAATTTTTCTCTATGTGACTTTCCTAATGTCCCATCTGCTTCCTTTGTCAAAAGGGAATCCCCTATGCTCTTTGCTGTGTTTCAACATAGGATTTACAGTGCATTCTACTTAATCTGTCACACCCTGAGAGATCAGCTGTCCATACGCCATGCACTGAGGAAAGGGTAATTTGACTAAGACATTTACAGAAGAGGGCCACTAGGCTCTGGAGGACTCTTTGTGCATGTAGTGTTATAGAGGTAACAATGGAAATTACAGGTTTGTTGAATGAAAACAATATTTACCTCATCTTACTAAAATTAGGTGAGAAATCTGTTGTTAATTTTAGTCAGCCCGTGAGATAAAAATGTTCAAATGACCATTTGCTTATTCAGATTTGTAATAACACTTCATGAAACCTTTAACCCTGAAGTCAAAAGTTTAATTTACCTTTTTCATCAATTTAGCATTTTAAAGGTCAAAGATTAGGGGAAAAAAGCTATTTTTAGAAAAGAAAGATAGGCTTTAGCTCCTCCACATGTTTTCAGATATCTACCTTCTTGCTTCTTCCAACCCTGGACTGCGTCTTGAATGTGGTGGTATAGACCTGATAGAGAGAACCATTTGAAACATCTCTCCCACTCTGAGAATGAAGGTGTAGTAGACTACAGAAGTTAAAGTACTCAATTTGCTTGCCAGATTTTATTGGATGCCTTCAGTTTTCGAGTGTCTCACTTAAAATGACTAGAGAAGGTGCAAATTTCAGAACTGAGGTGTCCAGCTGGCCATAAAACGTATGCTATGACTTGTGTCCCCAGGCAGAGGCATCCAAGACATGAGTTGCTTCTGACCAATGCAAAATGTTAAGCCGGCGTGAAAAGGTCATTTGTGGAAGTAAAGTCATCAACAGTTTCTAGTAATAACCCCAAGCATCACATCACAGCAAAGCAGAAACATTAAAATAGTTGTTCTGGTCTCTGCTATATGTCTTAATTTCCTTGATGAGCTTGCTATGTTTTTAATGTTGTAACTCCCAGAATGCCACTATGTATTGAGCAGCTTCCTCCTCCAAACTTCATTTCTGCTGCTCTGTCCACTAGATCTTCTTCCTTCCTTGTCCTCTTCTCCACCCCAAATTTCCTTCTCAGGTTGATCTGGCACCTTAACTTTTTTACTATTTTATTTTTTTACTCTGCTCATCCACCAGTTCTACATTTAGTTTTTCTAGAAAACACGGGCAACATTTTCAGACAACCAAAGAGCTAGATTTTCACAGCTTTTTAAGGCACTAGACTCTGTTTTTCCCTCTCTCCTACATATCATTTTGAAATTTTCATCTAAGTTATTTAGAAAAATACATTCCACTGAAATTCCATTCCATTAAGAATTAGTGCTTTGCAGCCTATCTTGGATGGGCAGCTCTATTTCCCATGCTAACCTATAACATAGGAGCTGGTTTGAAATATCTTCTGCTGATCCTTACTGTCTCCGTTCAAGTTTCAGGTTAAATGTTGTGTGCACCTTTTGTGGATAACCAGTACTGAACATCCTGTATGTGGTAGATGGTTGCAATTCTGGTCTGTTTCTGTGCTGGGAGTGTATCCTAAGTCAAGCCATGAGTGGGAGGCTAATGATCAGTGAGCTGTAGGTCGGACCCAGTTTCATGCAGAAAATGTCAAACTGCCCATACCATAGCTGGCCATTCATGGGTAAAAAACAAAAAGCCATCTCACAGTCTTACTGGCCTCAGGAAACCCTGTGGGCTCACCGTTTCTGCACAGGCAGCTGTCTGATGCTGAAGATGACCATTTAGACTTCCAACACAGACATCAAGGGTTTCTCAGTGAAAAAAGTGATGGCTACCATAGTCACAGTTTGGACTTGGAATATATAATGAGTAGAGGTATTCTTCTTTCTGAGAAGAAAAGGTGGAGAGAACTCATCTTACAATATTGGGTTGAAAGTGTTGGATAACTGACAGAGGATGCACAAAGTAACAAGTTGAGGTGATCCTAGACATCAATAGAAGACAGATGAGATTTATATGAAGTTAGAAACTCTCTATTTGTTTAAAATAAGGGATGCTAGTATGGGAAGAGATATTAAAAGGAAAGAGCTTTTTGACTATTTTTTTCCTCCAGTGGGAAATGTCAAGTGACTGATGCTACCTCCCTCCCACAGTCCACTTATTGAAGCAGAAGCCTGCGTAGCTGCAGAGCCTCGGTGCCTGGCATCACTGGGAGCCTGGCATTGCCTTCACATCCTGGGGTCTTCCCTCCTGGCCATGGGTATTAAGAGGTGGTAACCTGCATGAGTAGCTAGTTACTAGTGCAGGCAAGTGTCCTCTCTCTGAGCTGCTCAAGTGCTTTATTTCCTTAAAAGGAGCGCAACCATTTGAGATCACGGACACAAGCATTGCTGGGGGCCCACCAGGCCAACCACAACAGCTTGTCATTACATCAGTCTGCTGCAACTCACTCATAGCTGGGTGGGGGCAGAGTAAAAGTGTGGAAAGCCTGCAGATGGAGGGGAGAAGGGAGAAAAGCCAGAAGGGGAAGTGCCCCACCCCAGCTTGCAAAATTGGTCCTGTTGCTTGAGA